GATATTTTAATTGCGACGAGATAAAATTTTTAAATGAAGAGAATTTACAAAGCGTTCGAAATGATCGCCTGTGAATTCCTTTTATTTTTTTATCGATATTCTCTCTCTCTCTCTCTCTCTCTCTCTCTCTTTCTCTCTATATCTATCTATCTAGCTATCTATCTATCTATCTATCTACCTTTTATTCTTTTACGTGTGAAATCATCGATTTCATTACGATTTCCAAACTCTTAAATCTTCGCGGAGAATACAGCGAACGGGAAAAATTATGACGGTATAAAAATAAAAAACGATGGTACGAGGAAATGGGCGGGAAAGAATTTGCAGGAGGGGGGGCGTGGGAAGGGGGGACGCGGGAAGTTTCTCGAGGAGGTCGAGGAGAAACAGAGTGGCGAAGTTTGGTCGTCTATCTGGAAATCAGTCTTATGTATGTTCTATGCCGGTCTCAAGACACCCCCTTCTAACGGTTCACGCTTATTGAGCAATTCCCCGACATGAATGCAGACACAAGTTCCCAGAGCGCGATGCCATACATCGCTTTCACGTTCCCCCCGCTCCCATCGAGCTCGTGCATCGCGAGCCCACCCAATTACTAGGATACAGATCGTTAGTGATTTCCAAAGAGATCCCCGCGCACAATGCGAGCCCGGCCTCGAAAACTTCTCCCTTTTCGACTCCGGAAAATTCTCCTTTTTTTTCCCCCTCTCCTCTACACAAATCGCGCGTGTACCCGCAACAAGAAGTTCACCAATATCGTTTATAAGATAGAATAAAATAAAGATAAATTCCGCGATGGAACGGGGCGTGTTCGATAATAATAATACGAAAAACGCAAAAGATTGTATAAGAGAAGAGAACAGAGTTATAAAAAAAAAAAAAAAAAAAAACTGATATAAACGTCGCGCAATCCGATCAAAAAGCTCGTTCGTGCTCGCTTTGATTCCGTATTCCCTTCCCCGCAACACGTAATGATGTTGCCTGTGCACACCTTTATGAAACTTTTGTCCCCGCGGAAAACGAGGAATATCGTCCCTCGACCAATAAGCTAGAACGCAGCCAGAGCTTATAAACGAACTCTGTGTATTCCTGCTGTGCATCCTCCGTTCGAAAATATCCGATTCGATCCATATTAATGATCCCCGCCCGAGTTTTGTCGTCCCGTTTCCACGACATCCAACGAATACCGAGTCTGGATCCTCCACGTCTTAACGTAATTTCTCGCGTTAAATTTAGACCGCGAGAAAGAACTCGCGAAACACGAGTGCCTCGTGAGTAATTGCTATTTTCTTGCCTTTAAATCGTAACTCGAAAGGGAGGATTATTATTCATGAACCGAGCAAACTATCGTCTGTACAACAACCCGGCCGCTCGCTCGACCGACCGACCGACCTGTTTCCTCGCTTCCCCTGTTTTGCGCTCGTGTAACCTCTCGTTAAAATAAATTCATCCGCCGCGTTCTCTCTTAACCAACATTTATAGGACGGGGAATAACGCGATTCCCCGATACGAGCAGACGGTATCTGGCAAATATCGTCGCAATTTCTCGCGATATTTTCATCGGAATTCGCGTGGAAAAGAGAGGAAAGAGAGGGCAATCGCGCGATCCGACCGCGGTTCGATATAATTAGATTTACATCGCGTTTCGATCCCGTCTCGTTTCAACCGAATCTAAATATTATTATAAATTACGTGGTCTGAAAGGCGACCACCACCCATAACCTACCTCTCTCGAGCCTTATTTATAAGCCTCTCTCGAGATCTTATTTCCGTTAACCGATCAAGTTTAAACCTCTTTCTTTCTGTCTTTTTTCTTTTTTTTTTTTCTTTTTTTCGGAACGCAGTTAGCTAACTATGGATAAAAAAAAGAAAAAAGAAAGGAAGAAAAAGAAGAGGGGACACTCGTTCAACTTTCGACCGGTGCAATCGGGATAAAAGCTTCAAAGAGCGGCACAAATGCTGTCACGTGGCGGGGTGGAATGCGGATTATCAAGCTACCGTTTAACCAAAATACCCATTACTGTAATACAGGGCTGCAGCGAAATGGCAAGAGTAGAGATAGCGAAACGGAGAAGGATAAAGGAGAAAGACCTTGGATCGCGCGTATTACTTAGCATTAATGAGAGGTTTAATAATAACACGGAGGGAGGGGGGGAAAAAAGAACGGATGTAAAAGGATGTAATTAATCGAAAAATTAATCGAAAAATGTGAAAATTTCGAACGAGCTAGGACATAGGAATTTATACGAGGAAGCGTAATTTACACGCGTCGCTCGATTTTCACGCTATTAATTAAAGAGACAAGAATATACGAGGTTGAAATAGCTGCGGTATTATTAAGTTTCTCGAGACGATCTGTTTACCTCTTTATAAATGCACCGCGTACAATGCACGCACGCAGTCAGAAATGACGGATGCCGATGTACATTGAAGAAGCCGTTCACAATGAATCGCGGGACAAAGAAACTTGGAAAATCGAATCGCATGTAGGTAAATTCCTGCGCGCTTAAATACTTGTCCTTATTTCCATGCCTTATTTCCTCTATCTCCCGTGGAACACCAACGACTCTCTTTACGCGAAACACGTAAATATGCGTCGCATATTGTAACTGCCGTTTCGATCTTGCGGAACGTCATAGGGAAAACTTCGCTCGTCGATACGATGTATCCGCCCCCCGTTTTCTTCTCCCTATCACCGTTGGCCAGCCAAGAGGAATTTCGTATCGCGTATAAAGGGAGAAAGCAATCTTGAAGGGATAAGTCGAAACGTACATAGACTTCTTTCAGTTCGAAGATGTCGCATTCAATTAGAGGACAAGGTTCTCGCAAAATTGCAAAAGACTTTGCACGAGATCCGGCGATGCACGGGCACAGCGATACGGCCAGTTTCATTATCTTCTTTCCCTTCCCTCTTTCCATTTTTACCCGCTTTCTTCCGCTTTTCTTTTCCTTCTCCGTACCCGCCCGACCACGCAATGAAATTTTATACGAGCGGGCCACCGAGCACGTAGCGGCAATAGAAGTAGCGTGCGAATTGTTCGACGTCGACCTTCCTATTGATTTCCACCTGCGTCGATTTAACTCGACCTCGGTATTCATCCCCCTCCCGTAACCTTCTCTTTTCCCCTTTCCAACCGGTTTATCCCCTGTTCTCGCTCCACCCCCGATAGTCCGTGCTCGACCACCCAATTATTGCGTAACTCGGCCATCGTACGAGCGAATACGGAGACAAATAACGCGGCGATAATTTTCGTGAATATTGCGAGAACACGGTAGAAATTCTTTCGTTCCTTTTCTCTCCTCGTTCGAGCGAGGAATTTCGAATCGCGACAATGCTCTTGCGTTGCACGCGCGTAACGTAGAAACGAACGCGGTACGATTGGATGTGAAAAAGATTTTCAGCCTGTCGAACTTTTCTTGCTTAGATTTGTCGTTCCGCGGGAATAACGCTCGGCATTGATGGTCTCCTCCCTTTTCTTGCCCAACGAGTAAACGAAGGTCACGGGAACACTGCATTTTTCCCACTTTTTTACACTTTTAAATCACGTTGAATCGCGCGTATCGCGTAACGTATATACGACGACGTGAACGCGATCGACTCTCGAACGAAACTAATTGCGCACGACACGGAAAGTGTTTACTATTGAAACATAACAGAGCGGCGATAAAGTTCCGGGAAACGATTAAGACGATATACACACCGCTATTTACTCGTTTGACTTTCGTAATATTTACGAAACGAAAACGTTTTTCGTTCTCCTCGAGAGATGCTTATGCCGTATTATGGAATTTTATTATTAATTTGAATCGAATTAATTTTATTATAATTTGAAACGTGCTTATTCCCCCTCTTTTTCTCTCTTTGTCGTACACGCTCTACAAGACTATAAAACAATGCACGATCTTCTCTTTTTTTCTCTTTTTCTTTTTTCTTCTTCGAAGCGTTAAGTTTCGTTTCATCCAAAGCCTTTTTTTTTTTTTACACGAAGAATTTATAGGAAAGTTGAAGATATCGAATCGGTACTCGCATTGATTTCGAAGTCTTGTACCGCCTTAGAGTCTTAGTTTACAGGTAAACTAAAACTAACAAAGGAATCGAGGAGGCAAGTTCGTCTAACGAACGAAGGGAAACGCAAACATTTTATTTCGAAACTTTCTAAACTCGTCGAGTTAAAGAGACTAAATTTCCTCTCGGATTTATCCTCTCTCTCCTCCCCGATTTTTCGATCTCCGATTTTTTTTTTTTTCCTCCCCTTGTCGAAAAATTTCATTGAGGCAATCGCACTCATACTCGAGTATTTTATTCTATACGGACGGAATTCCCCGAGAAACTATAATAAAACATCCGGCTACATCTGCCGTTTCATAGGATATAATTGAAAAGTATTAGCATGTTGAAAACCACTCGTCCCTTAACAATATAATCGGGAGAGACGGGACACGGGTGAAAAGTTAAAAATCCCATGTTCTTCCACTCTCGACATTTTAATTCCATTTTCATCCGGTCCGCAAATAAACCTTTCAATTTAGAAAGGTCCCGGCTGTCCTTATTTCGATTAAAATCTTTCTTTCCGTCCGTACGTTTCCCTCCCCCTCCCCCCGATATATTCATTCATAATCGTGATATAAGAGAGGGTCAAAAGGATTCGTACAGTTTAGAGAAATGACGTTGATCTAGAGGTACGATGAATCTAAACGAGAGGCGTTTAATTCCTCGTGGAAATCCGTGTACGCGAAGAGGAAGAGACGACGATTCGTTTTTATCCTTCCTTCCTTTTTCTAAAAAAAGAGAAAAAGTCCTACAGCACATACCACTTCTCCTCCGGACCGTCCTCACCCCCCGTTTCCCTCGATTCCCCCAAAGACCAGCCGTTCGGCTCTTACGTTGATATGATAATAACTTTTCTACGCTCTTGGGAGCCCGGATCGTCTGAAACCCTGGGGGAGGGAGGGCAGGTAATGCCTTTTCAAAAACTTTTTGAAGAATGTTCCCGGAATCTCACCATTCCATCCCCGAGATTATGAACGACGCAAGGCAGGAGCGCGGTGGATCCAGATTGGGCGGAGATCACCGTCGAATTTTCGGTGCCGAAGCTCATCGGAAGCGTGGGCGGTAGATCGATGTCCAATGGTTTCATGCTCGCTTCTAACGAATTCCCATTTGTCGGCACGATCTCCGCCGTGGCCGCTGTCGGATACTCTGAAAAATAGGCATCGAATCAAGGAAAATTGGTGGCATGTCGTTGGTGGAAGGATCGAACGTGGGTTCCACGGCAACAAACCTGCTATCTACCTACCTAGCCCCCGCGAGGAGGGATTCTCGTTAAGAGGCTTTCCTCTGGACTTTACTTAACCCCTTCTCGCCCTACCCAATCGACCCCTTCAAATATTTATGCGCGCCTCGTTCCAATAGCCCTGGAGGATTTGTTGGAAACCGAGGATTGTTCTTTCCTGTTGTGTTTATTTGCCAACAACGAGATGCGATAGGGGTGTCAAATGGAAATGGGAGGAAAAGAAACGCAAGGCGAAAATGCGATCGTGTATACATTTCGATGGCTCGAACTCTAAATATTCGATAATGCGATGTAGAATGTGGTCAAACTTTCATATCGATCCTGATATGTTCACAGGATGGTTCGTAATTTTAATACAAACGGTGTTACGTTTTCGAACGAGGTTCGATCGAACTGTGTGTGTGTGTGTGTGGATTAAAACGAATGTTGATGAACGATCCCGATAAGCGTAGGAAAATTTTCCAAGTACGATCGATCGGATTAAAGCGTAATTTTCACGCGAAACTAAGGGCGTGGAGGTAATAATTCTTGTCAACGAAATAACAGGTAGGAAAACAAGGGGGAAAGTTGGTGCCCTTTCTAAAGGATGATACGATCCGCGAATCATTTTAATGATAATTTAAAGTTTCCACTCTTAGAAAGACTGGGTAACCACGGACTTACTGTTGCTCGGCTAAAGTTTAGGAAACTTCATCTTCTCGAAAAGAAAAAGATCCTCTTGTCAGCGAGGTCGCTTCCTTACTTATGCTGGTGGCTCGTTCGCTGGTTTTCGTTCCTTCCACGAGTATATTACCCGAAATAAAAAAGCGAGATACAAAAAAAAAAAAAAAAAAAAAAAAGAAAAGAAAAGTAAAAAATTAAAGTTAGAGATTGCGGCAGAGTTTTACGTGTATATTAATTAGATTACTCCCCTTTTATACAGACGGGAACTTTATACAAACAGGAAAACAGGATAGCCTGTGGTAATATCCTCATGAATCTTTAACATACCTCGATGAATTTTTATAATATCCTCGCCTAGAGCAAAAGCAAATCGAAAATTGCAATTTTAATCGGGAAATCATCGAAATTAAATATATAAAAGCGCGTTATTTAAAAAACAAATTTTCCCCTTCGTGAATTTAATACACGATTGTCCAACAATTACAAGAGATGCGCGCGGACAAAATCTTATGGACAAAGGTTGAGATTCTACTTTAGGGCGAGTTAATCGTCCTTTCGGGAAAGAAGTCAGGTTTCTCAGAGAAAGAGTCGGTGAAATAAAGGACGAAATAAAAGTTTCTCGAGGATAAGGAGAAAATTTATGGCCGAGTGTTTAACGAATGCAAGAAGATGGATTCGCGGCACGATTATTATTCAATGGAACGTCAAATTTACTAGTCGGATTTTTCCATCCGTTCGACGCTGCTCGATTTAACTTCGGACTCTCGAGACCCGTCGGATGTATGCACGTATACACGTACGAGAATACCGGTGCGAGACCGGTAAAAACAAATAGCGAAACTTTCAAAGGCTATCCGGGAAAAGTTTCATTATTTTGGAACGAGACCGTGCCAAGAATTTCTATTAAAATAATAAGAACTCGAACGAGCCACGTTGTTATGGAACGTACGCCGCGAAACGGCACGAGGAGCAATTCGTGGCAAGATAAAAAGATTCCGCGAAGATGCCAGTCCGGTTGAGAATTTTGTTTGCGCGACCATTTTTTTCTTTTTTTTTTTTTTTTCTCTCCTCCAAAGAAGTTATCGAACGAGGAATTATACACGTGTATATGTAATAAACCCCCCCATTAAACGGAAATATAATGTACCCCCGTTATTTCGCGTTATCGTCAGGGATAATTTAATTAACGTAGGATCGTAGGGCCGAACGAGGCAATCAACATTTTAAAAGGTATCTTGTCTTTTTTTCTCTTTTTACGAGACGTAAATCGATTTTCCCGACGACAACATTTTTTTTCTTCTTGTAATCATTCTGACGGGCGTTAGTCAAACAAGGAAGGGGTCGACCGGTATATTACCTTATAGACAGGAGAAAAGAAAGTAGTAATCCCATGACTGGAATAATCGACTGTAAGGTGTCGTTATTACTGAAAACTTGGAAAATGAGATACTTGCGGGGTTCTTAAAGGAACAGCAATATTCGTAAATTCCCGTGCGCTAAGCGTCTTTCAGACCAATTTAACTACCAACTTTTCCTCGACGCGCGCTAAACTAGAAATAAAACAGCACGATGTCGAGCTCGTTTGTTCCACCGCCATAAGTTCGCTACCTACTGCCACGCTCCCTTACACCCCCTCCCCTCCCTCGCTCCCAACTTCAACTTCGCCTTCCGTGGAAATTTATTACGAATGCGAGGTGCCATGACTCCTCGCATGACGCGAGGAGAGAGTTTGCTTCTTTCGTACTCTCTCCCGTCGAAAGATCCGTCCGTACACTTTCCGAAATCTTCGAAACTCCCCCTCAAAGCGTACCTGTGTATCGCATGGATGGATCGGGGGCGTAAATCCGAGGATCAGGTAAGGAAATTTCTCGGCAACGCGGTTCGAAACGCGGTCCGACGTGTTTCCGACAGCGTCTGACACACGCCTAAGCTATATTATAATAACTATGGTTTCGAGTTGGAAACAGTGGGTGCGATAGAGAGCGGATTATAACCCCGGGGGCGTATGCGGTATCGATCAACACTCGTGAAATACGAAATCGAAATACGAACGAAATTATACCGACCCGTTCGTTTCGAACGAGATATCGCGTAAACTATTTTTCAGGCCAGAAATTGTACATGGCGGCACGAGCAAAACGAAGCTTCACACGCGGCCACCAGCCGGCACCAGATGGCCAGATAGATAGATACAGAATACCCGAGGTTGAACCGTTTCGCTTTCCCTCCACCGCCGTTCGTTCAAGTATATTTAGCGGGTAAAAGTGATGAACAGCCGCGGCATACCGGTTCATCCTTTCCCATCTCGTGTAAGTATCTCTTTTTCCTTGCTTTTTTACACGATCCGGCACACGTGTCACGTTGAAAGCCGCCTTTTCACCGCCGCTCTTTACATAGACTGTACTTTGCGGAGAGGAGAGGCGGGCGGCTTTTTTGTTCGGCCACGGGCGCAATAAAGCGTGTAACGCGCATAAACGAGCCATAACCAAGCCTCGGACGAGGTGGCCCCTCCGACGAGGGGAAACTATAAACTTTCCCGGCATAATCCCGATATAATTAAATAGAAGACACGCGAGTTTTGTCACCCCCTCCCTCCCTTAGCGAAGTAGCAGTAACCTTCCTTCCGCGGAAGGAAGGAAGTTGGGGCGCGGCGCGGCTCTGTGTGCACGAGCGTCTAAAATTTGCATCAACGGGGAATGCATCCCGGTGATCTCTCGCCGTGTTCCCAAATCGTACAACGAGTAACCCTGCTGCTATCCGTTCGAGGAAAATAGATTGAATTAAGCGCGCGAGGCACGGTAAGCCTAAACGAAGCGAGGAATCTGCGGCGCGGCGTGGCGTGGCGTGGCGTGGCGTGGCGGGCGACCGATTTTCTTGGGCGAAAGGAGAATGGCGAACAACGTGTAATCAAACCCTCGAGGAGATGGAAACAGGGGAGATGAAATTCAGGGGGGATTAAATTTGACTTAAGCCTGACTTAGATTTGACGCGAGGGTGAGATATCGCGGTTATTTTTCATCGAGGAGGCAACGGAGAAAATGGAGGAGGAGATGGATCGTTTTGTTTATATTCCTTTTCCATTCCTTTTAATAATTTGCTCGATGCAAATTAAGTAAATAACTTGCAGTTTGTTACGAACGTTAGGTATCGAATTGAGTCGGAAGCGAATCGATGGATACGATAAACGTTGTAACAAGTTGTAACAACTCGTGGGAAGAACAGTTGCGATGTTTCGAAAACGATGGAACGCGATGGGAGGATGCTTTATTAGCTTGCTTAAAACGTATATATTCGTACGAAACTGTCCGTTGTGGAATACATCTATGCCCGTAATTAATGGCAAAAATATTCACAAATCTATGCGTTTGTTCGCGTATGAATCGCGGGAATCGCGATTTACAACAAGCGAAGTTTATTTACAAACTTTCGTTCGTTCATTTGCATAACGAAAACGCGTGACGTTGTCGTTAATCCTTGCACGCGTTCATAACGAAATTGAAAACTGCGAAAATCGGGCTTATTGTCCGGTTAAATTACGAACGAAGGAAAGAAAGGGGAAAAAAGGAATGAACAGAATGATTATCGAACAAGGATTATAGGAGCGAGGATAAAAAAAAAAAAAGGAAAGGAAAGTGAACGAGAGCGAAAGAGAGATTCTTTGCAAACTCGCGCGCAGTCTTGCCCGTAGAATCGTAACGCTGAAGAACGTTGACTCTCGAAATGACTCTCGAAAATGATCGAATTTCGAATCGATTGCAATTTCGACTCGATGAAGCGGTAATTCGATACCAATAATGGTCACGTATCAAGAGTTCTCTGCTAATCGACACCGAACCAGTTATTTTCCACGTTACGCGCGAATATATTATAACGCGTTGGAGGGGTACATCTGGCCGTAATTTATGAAACCCCTCCGGTTAATTGCACATTAACGAAGGTGTAATTTGCACGTTCGAAACCCTTCTTTCCCGATCGAGCGAGTAATAGACACTCGCTTTGAGAATGGGCGGCCCACGTAAAACGGCCGAGAGCACTTATCCCACGAATTTACGAATAGTATTTGCCCGATTAACGTGAACGAAAAAGTGAACGAAGGCGTTAAACAGGGTGTAAAAGGACAACGGTAACGATAGTGAAATAACGAACAGAGAAGAGATTAAAGGTTTTCGGTGCTTAAAGGTCGGGGAAAAGTATCGAGTTAACTTCTTGAAGAGAGGAACGAGGGCCGGAAACTTAGCATAGGATCGCATTAGCACGTTAAATGGTTATATTAAGAACTTTATACAATGGTTCGTTCGGTCTATTCGAGGGGGTGGATTCGGTGTTGCTCTCGAGATGAATTTTATCGTGATCCGATGTCTTTCCAGAGGATTTATAAACGATCGATAAAGTACACACGATATGCCTGGGGACGAATAAAGACGCGAACTTTTAAGGGTGAATCCATTAACGCCGGAACGATTGCGATCAATTCGAGTCGGAACCGATTAATTATACACGTCTCTCGAATTTCCACGAGTATCCTTCCCTTTATACTTATACATATATATATATATATATCTGTCAATCAATGGAAAATTTATATTCGCGTTCCGATAATGAATAATAAAATTGTAATTTCATTGAACTTTAACTTTCAGTCTGCCCGTTCTTACGATATAAGAACGAACGCGGACAAAATTAAGCGGACGAGGTAAAAAAAGATAAAAAATCACCTTTGACCGATTATCCCGGGATTATTATCGATTGATAAAGAAGCGTCGTACCTTCTGCGACGCTCCATAAACGAATTACTCGTGCCGGCGCGCTCGATAATTCGGTCGGAATCTGTTAAAACCAAAGTAGAATCCATCCCCATCGGACGATGGTCGCGTTAAAGTTTTTACGACTGATCGGAAGGGTATTAGATATTATTGGCGCGATGGCAAAGTGAAATTGCAGGATGGTTCGCGCTTGATTCGGAAGATCTGTAAAAGCGATGATCGTAGGCATCTCGAAACTGAATTCGGACCGTACGCGGTGGTGGTAGTACGCGCGACGGTCCCTGTATTACTTTGACCCCGGCAAAGCGACGATTACGAGCGCTGTGTAGCACGGAATGGATTCGCCGCCGTGGGCGAAACGACGAAACAGTTCCATCGAGCGAAACGCAAACACTCGAGAGAGGGCCTATGCGGCGGAGAGTGAAACAAACGTGGCGTGGAAACCGAGAACCATATCGTATACACGTCTATACTCACCGGCAGTTCGCACCAGCACGTTAAGTAGAATGGATAGCAAAAGGGTGGTGGCCCGGTATCCGTGTATTATGATCATCAGCCACCTCGATACGCTGAATCCCGCGCCGTGCCATAGACCCGTGGCCTCGTGCACCATATTTCTCTGCCTCGCCCTTTTTCACCCGGCTCGCCACCGATTGCCTCGTCCCCAGCCCACATTCACCGCGTCGTTCCTCCGTTCCAGCCTCCGTTAACCCGTCTCCAACCTTCCACGTTTTATCAGAGATTGGAAATCCCGTTCCCCGGGCGAAGCAAGGGACGTTGCGCGAACAAACTCGTCGCTACTCTTCAGGTTCGTCGTTGAAGGAAATTCGATTCTCCCGCGAGTCGAGTCGAGTCGAATCGAATCGAATCGAATCGAGTCGAGTCGGTGCTTTCGATACCTTGGAATAAGAGAGGGAACCTTTTATCGCGTTCCACCGTGTTGCAATTGTTTACCGGGGTCGCCTCCCTTTCCAAGGATTGATTAGCGCAACCGGGGAAAAGAGGAAAGTTTCTGTTGCCCTGGAAACCTAGGGGCAGAACTGGCCTCCGTCCTAAGGGGCTAAAACATCTCTCCTTGCGGCGAGGGTAAGTTGGCTAGATCAATTCCTCGGTCTCTCAAAGATACCGCGCGAATTCACGGATTACCGGAGTTTCTACGTGGGTCGTGAATCGCGTTCCAAAGTATCGGAGTGCAACGATGGTCGTTAGGGTCGTTAAACTGTCGTTAATTCATAAAATTATCGGTGAACCGTTCCTTCCTCGATGGCCAAGGGAGCAAGAGAGGTTTCTCGCAAAAGGGCTTCTTTCTCTTCGTTAGAAACGAGGCGGAAGCTAATTTTGTTCGCCTCCCGTTATCGGGATCCATGAACTGCACGAGCCAACCGAATGTCAAGGAAAAAAGGCAAGTTTGGCGAGTTACTCCTCGATCGTCGTTCCGTGTTCCGGTTTCTATTCTTCCACGATTATAGATTACGACCTCTTCGAAATTATTTCGAGGCAAGTTCCTTTTCGTACGGATTCTCTTCGATCTAGGAACAAAGTGAAAGGTATACGCGTCGAAACTTGTCATCGAACTTGAACCGTATCAAGGCGAATATTGTCGGAGTTGGCGCAAAACGTTGGGACGATATCCTTTGGCAATAAGGTTAATAGAGTACCTTCGGGCGAAAGGGCTCCTCCTCTCCTTGCTTACCGGTTTCTCATTCGGTTTCATTCACAAACCTTCTTGTTGGGAAGCTTACCGAGTTCTGTACGTTATCAGAAATACAGGATGCTCTAGGCCATAGAACCAAGCGTTCTTCCGCGGCTCTTTCTTCCTCGAGTGGCTTTCAGGATTCCGTCGCTACTGTTCCACAGCCAACGGGCTACTTCTGTGAAGAAATCTCTGCCTTCCTTTTTATCCGACAATACAGAGACACTGTTGAGCAGGATGGAAGAGGGAGAGAAAGAAAGAGATATATACAGAGAGAGAGAGAGAGAGAGAGAGAGAAAGAGAGAAAGAGTAACGTTCACGCTTCTTCTTCCTAATTTCTACTGCCTGCTATTTCGCTACAAGATTTTTCTTTCCTTTTCTTCCTTTCCAGTTGGATGTTAATACGATCGCGATGCTTTTAGCGAACATCCATCGTACCACGGCCGATGGTTTAATTTCTAACGTTAATATTACCATAGCCTTGAAAGCTTCCACGTCGATTGCCCTCTTCTCTTGCTTCGCCGTCCGTATAGATCCTCTTATAGCATAACGTATATCACCGGTCTACTTGGCCGCATCAACATCGATAAAACGGTAATCGGAATTACCATCGTCTTTAAAACGATGGCCAACTGTCACGACTGTCTTTCTTCTGCTTCGAATCCTCCTCCCTCCCTCCCCGGTTTTAATTGGAGAACTATAGGAAATTGTGGAGAAGGGTGAAAGAGAAGGGTGTACACAACGGGGCTGCAAAATACACGGGCGATTCGCAGAGGACGAGTGGAAATTTCGCTTGATATTACGACCGGGGCCGAATGGACGTGAAGCACGACGATCATTAGGTGACACGACTAATATTCCGCTTTAAGCGGACCCTTGTCACGCCTATTTTCCCTGCTTCCTCATTTACAGATGTCTCGACTGTTCCAACGCGACGTCACTTGTCGCGCGCGTTAACAGAACCCTCTCCCCCCCCCCTCCCCCGCGACGTTTCCACCTTCTTCTCGAGACCCTTTTCAACGCTGCATTTTCGTCGCTCGACTGCCCCTCAACCGGGGACACGGAGGCGACACACCCTCCGCTCGACAGACCGTCGTCGTTTCGGCCGTCGTTTCACACACACGCGTTGCGTTCCGTTCCGTCTCGTCTCGGGGAAGCAAGCACCAAAAGATTTGCCAAAGAATTTCGCGGCCTCCCGGGTTTGTGGATATTGTGCAAGTTTGTGGAATGTTGCGGCTACCAGACGACTGTGTCTTTAGCCGGCCGAGTTAACCGGTTCTGGTGGCGGTGGTTGCTGCCTTTAGGCCACCCTTTCCCTTCTCCTGCTCAACTTCCTATCCAGGAACGTCCACCTGCGTACATAAACGCGAACGACGGCAACGTGTAGCGTGTCTTCGTGCAAGATCGTCGTGGTTAACCAGCTCCTTTGAGGAATTTCAGCTGTCCCGCGGTTGGTATCCGTGCAAGGCCTAAACCGTTTCAGGGATTACGGCTGACTCGATTCCTTAAGCGTCGGCTGCTGCCTCTGCCGATCATCCTCCTGAAATTCGAGCGGAATGAATGTAGTAATTGATGTGACGGAAACGCGATTGGAATTCGTGAAATCTTAATGGTAAACGATCCTTTTTATTTTTCGTTCGTATCTTTGAAGATCGAAATCTCTTTCGAGACGACTAAAATGAAATGGATCGAGCGAGAAACCAAGTAGTACTTCAATTTAGAAGTCATTCCTTTTTTGCTCTCTTTTTCTCTCTCTCTCTCTCTCTCTCTCTCTCTCTCTCTCTCTGAGCGATTCCCTTGAAATGACCGAGCGATTTTCGCGAATTTAATCTCTTTCAACAACATCCGATAATTAAATCGATCGAACCGATTAATTAATCTGAAACGCATCCATCGTTGCGCTGATATTTATAATTTCGATCATTTTGGAATAATAAATTTATTTAGGGAGCAACAATATCTCGCGAGAGTATAAAAAGCCCATCCTTTCGTAGAGATAGAGTTTCGTTTCTAACAAAACGCGACAGCGAGTGAGAATTACGAGGGACGAGAGAAACGAGAGGAGAAAGAAGAGAGATCGTTTTGAAACGGGAGAAGACTCTTCGCGACACGAGTGGACGGCGCATCGAAAATTTTCACTCGGAACGGCGTGGCAAGATCAAAGATGAAAAAGCACAGACGGAGGGCGACATTTATTAAAAGACCGATTACTTATTAGAGTGATCCTCGAGGAACGAACGAATCGTTGACGCGCCGGCCGCTTCGCGATACATTCCGTGAAAAGCGAATTTTCCCTTGGCCACGAGAGCACTTATTCCTCTTCTATCTTTTACTCACTGTGCCGAGCGTTAAGCTCACGGAAGATGGGGCGAAATTTAACGAGCGACTAAGGTCGCGAGCAATTCGGAGCAATAAAAAAGACGAGGAGGAACGGGGCTGTGGCAACGAACGGGATATGAACGATGATGCGGCCTTCCACGCCGGTGGAAGAGGCGGCAACCATCACCGGAACCATCAACGATAAGCCTGGAATACGTGCGAGATGGTGCGCGAGACAGAAGTGAAATTGTGGTAAATCTTGCGACGTAAATGCATACTTTAAGATAAACTAATAATAAATCAACGACTCGGAAGTGATGCGGGATTAAGTTTTGAAGATTGTGTGCGAGATTGAGAAGAAAGAGAAAAGAAAGAAGAAAGGAAAAAATAGTCGACGATATATTATCTCGTAGTTTCTTTTTCTTTTTTTTTATATCACGAAAGTTACAACGTGGCGAATCATGATTATATATTCAGGATGAAGCGGTGGCACGCGTATGTACGCGCAATGTCTTTCAGCTTTAGAGTACATACTATCTTAGTCTACTTTAAGGTCTGCGGGTGTAACGATTATGGTTACTGCCACAGGGCTATTATCTCACTCGTGAGAATATTCTAAAGTCGTATATATTTTACGCTCCAATGAAATACAGCTCTATTAACTATCAAATATTTTCCAAATCGTTCAATGAAGATTAAAAACATGGGCCAACGATTCTTCTCTCGATTTCTCTCAATCTGTACAAGGGAAAAAGTTTCGTTGAAAATTGCCGATTCCGTTTTAAGTGACCCTGGGTTTCGGTCACTTTTACAACGTGCTTTCGTTTTAATAAAAGAAATCCATCCTCGAGGGAAACGGGGAGGGGAACCGTTTCCTGAATCTTTCACCGAACCGTTTAAAAGTTGGAGGTAAGTGAAAAGATTTGATATTTTAAACTGCCATCTTCGCGGGGAATTTTGCATAAACTCAACGATGAATCGTTTTGAATAATAAGTACGCTAGAAAATATGAACCGTCCTTAATAAGTCCGTAGCTTTTGACTGGCAGTGAATAACTAACAACGTATAACTCAACGTTATCCTTCGTCCCTCGATACAAACATTTTTCTTTATCTTTCCCAGAGAGTTCCTTTTCAATGAATCCCGAGATCCGTGGATTCACCAAATTTATAATGAACATCCTTCAATTTTTCCCCTGTTTTAAAAAGTTACACACGAAATTTACAGAATGCACAGAATACCGTACCTCCACTTCCAACTGTGGAGGAAACTCGATCCATTTAATCGTACGATCATCAACGAGGTACGATTTCCGGAATTCGTCTTCATCGAAAGAGGAAAGTCACAGAGTTCACGAACGCCGCGTATCTTCTCGGGAAATATGGAGGATCAAGGATTTAGGATCAGGGAGAAGGGAGGATAAAGAGCGGTCGACTTTATGAATACTAATTGGTATTACGGAAGGACATTTGTCGGGCGGAATTTATCGGGTTTATCGGATGTGAACCCTCCTCCCCTCCCCCATCATATCTCGAGGAAGTTCATTGAATAGGTACATCCCCGATGGATCGGCCGTCACAGAGAGACAGGGATAACGAAAAACTTAATACCGAAAGAAGAAGAGCGCATTACGTAAAGAAGGCTTGGAAAGAGCCGACCGTTGAATAATGTACATTCCCCTCTCCCTCCACCCCTGGGCTGCATCCACCTCTCTCACTTTCGCATAAACACGTATCGCTCGTACGTGAACAGGATGGAACGATTCTGCCAGGATTTGGCATCCGTACTTGGTAATTAAGTTCGCCTCGGTGTGTACCACCCCCTCTCTCTCTCTCTCTCTCTCTCTCTCTTTCTCTCTCTCTCTCTGTCCGCCGATGGTACACGAAATTGCACCATTGCCGTGCCGATTAAAGTGCCGATAATCCTGAGCATCGATTTAACCTATGGCTCGGTATCAATTATCGGGTCAATCGTCGTCGGATGCCACGTCCTATTTGGCCACTTGACTGACCCGAAGACATTTAAATGAAAATCGTTGCCCTTTATTCCGCCGGGACAACGGTATCGTGGCAAACGGCACGGCGACGCAATACGTTTCACCCCGTTCCCCTTTGTCCGCATCCATCCGTGTATCCATCTGTGTACGTTCATTTTACAACGAAACGGAACGAAACGGAACGGAACGGAACGGAACGAAAACGAAAACGAATCAACGACGAATACGCGCGTGGAAAGAATGGTTAATTGAAAATCTGTATCATCCTGTTTGGTATTCATTCATATCGGGTATACGGGTATTATCGATTCGTATTACATATGTGCATAATTTTGCACGCAAGCACGCTTCGTACGGTCAAATATTTTTTTCTCTCTCTCTCTGTCTCTTTCTCTTTCTCACCTCGATACCCGAGAGGAACGATTGAAACTTTTCTGGATTGGATTTCCGACCGAGCAGAAGTTCGTTTTTCCAAAGAGAGAGTTCCGTCAAGTGTGATTAACATTCTCACGATTGTAAGAGGAAAAGTCATGCTTTTGTTTCTCGCTATGACCGGGATGAAGCTTTGAAAAACAGTTGTAAAGAGCTCGAAGCACCCCCGAAGGAGAATATTATACGATGACGTTAAGCGTCGGTTTGTATCGCGCGGTTATTAAATGGGGAGGAAAGTTTAGAATGGAAGCAACGTTTTGTCTCCCAGGAAAGAAATACTTTTCGTCGAGTAGCGGAGGAGGAAGAAGAAAGAGGAGAGGAAGAGGCGGAGGAAGAGGAGGTGGAGAAGCGCGAGAAAAAGGGAGAAGAGAGATATAAAGGCGGCATCACGGTCGGGATGATGGTCACTACCGATCAAGATTTTTCCGAAAAGCCTTTCCTCGCGGCGTGGAAACGTTTTACGCGTTTGATATTGCGCAGAGAAAAAAATAAATCGCTTTGTTAAAGCGATTAAAGCGTTAAACATTCCCCCATCCCTCTCTCCCGTGTTGATCATTTAATAATTCCTCTCTTTTTTTTCATATATATATATTTTTTTTTTCGTAGATAAAAAAATAACATAGCGAAAGCGTTATTAAAAAAGTAAAGCGGTGCAACAACCGGTTATTTCAATGTTGGCGGCGAGAAAGTATATGAAATTCGTTACGTACGAATCGCAAAGGTAAATTATTGCAAATTGTTGATATATTTTCAATTCTCCGTGGAGCACCGGCCGAAAATTTATACCGGTATACAATAAAACATGCTAATGGACCAATATTTATTCGTCCCGGACGTGGCATTATCGCGATGACGGTACATCGATTACAATTATTTCCCGCTTAATTTAGTTGTTCTGAAACGATCCGGAAAATTTAGAACGACATCCATGTTTGTCATTCCCCGATACGATATCAGGTTATATCATCTATGCAAGCTTCTTCCACGAGCGGATGTTTGCCCATGTCTCCACGAGAACAATCACGGGGATCTCCCCGTGAAATTAGTCCGAACGTGAATCAATTGGAAATGGGATCGAAATGGGGAAGGCGGCGATTCCTACGAATGAAATTCGTAGAGGGCAGATTATTGGAACGTACGACCCGTTCGGGGTGAAAATATATTTTCTACCAGTCGTCCATCACCTATTGACAGTGTTATTGATCATAGCGTAGAAGCGTGGAATCGAAGAAAGCAATCAACGGGGACGTTCGAGCTGTCCCACTGACAAAGCGTACACGAGTCCACGTCAATGACAAACGCGGAGCATGGTGTTAACAGCAATGAAATCCATCGTGAATGGACCTTTTTAAAGTTAAACGACATAACGCGTAAATCAACCGTACTACCGTGTTCCCAAGAATAATATTTGTCGATTCGTGACGGGAGGGGGAGGGGAAAGAGAAAATGGAAAGAAGACGAGAATTAACGAGGGTGATAAGAAATGGGGAGGGGCAAGGGAAAAATTTCCTTGTTGTTTCACCGGGAATTAATTTTTCCGATCCGATTTAAAATTCCGTTTCCTAATCCTAATTTCACACCAAGTTTTCCAAGTGGCTCATTAGACATAATCACGTTTCGAGCACTCTATTGGCCGGTCTATTTAATTACCCGTTTACAAACTAGCGGTCCTCTTTTTTTTCTTTTTCTTTCTTTTTTTTTTTTTTCTTCGAAATGCGAAATTCGAATCACGAAGTACTTTTAACGGGTTATTTTAACGACCACAAAGTCTCGTTTCACGGTGAAACGATTCGTTTTGAGATCGAATGAATTTCACCGGTCACACTATCGCGTGTAGCCCGAAATCAACGCTAGTTTAATCCAGCTAGCATCGAAGCCGATGGCATAGTCTTGCGTTATTTTATTATTGAATTATCGGACGAAACACGGATGAAACACGATGGGCCAATTAAAGTAATCGTTTGAGCAGCGATCGGATGCCATGCCGATAAAATTAATATGCCGAGTGAAACTTCCGATAACCCAACGATTTATCCGGTTGTAATCACCGCAATTATCGCCGTTTAATTACCCTCTCGGATGACAAGTTTCTTCTTTGTCGGTTCTAGACGAAATAAGACTCTGCCTTTTCACGGCGCCAAGAGTGGCTAACGAAGGAATAAGAAAGTTCAACCGGGTTTCCATTATCGTGCACGAAAAAACAGAATTAATGAGTCCCCCCTCCCCTTCTTTTTTTTTTCTTCCCTACTCTACTCCTCGCTACTCCTAACTCTTTTCTCGCTTCTTGCAACTTCAAACTTCCTCCCTCCCTCCCCCTCCCATTCCTCTCCAATCCTTGAACGAAGCGAAACACGTCACCGGTTTTTAGTTGTATCCTGTCGACGATAGAAATATAGCGTAACTGTTTCCTTGCATGAATACACCGTTTCCTTTCCCCGGTTTTCTAAGCTCCGCTTGACAACGAACCAGCAATCCCGCACCCTCTGCCAAACAATTCCGCCAAGTTTCCATTTATTCAATAATTTCGTTTCATCTACCCATTCTACGTCATTTACAGACTATTTACACTCTCCAATTATATAATCACGGTTATTGAATTGTCACTCGATTACTCGATGGATAAGTCAACAGACGCACAGGTGCTCGATGAAAATTTATCAATCCAAGTTAAAATTCAGTTTCGTCGAGTAGTTTCCAGGTCGAAGAATTAAAGCGAATCTAGCACGGTATTGCGCGCACTCTCTGTACGTATGCGATGTAACATGGTTACTTTGAAACGTTAAACAAAATTTCGAGAATTACACGCATCTTTCACGAACAACGCGTATAGAGGCAGTGAAAAAAAAAAGAAAGAGAGAAAGAGATGCATGCACGTACAATTACACGCATATATACATATATACACGTACAAACACTGCGAATAACGCGATGTGCGGAAAGATTCCGTCCGTTCTTTTGACCCGCTTTTACGAAAAAAAACGTCTGACACTCGAAAAGAATTCAAGTAGATACGGACGTTGTTACACAGACAGACACTTGTACTATACACGTCGAAGAAAAAGAGGAGATGGAGGAGGAGGAGGATGAGGTACAGGCCGCAGAAAAAACGCGTGTATTGAATGAATACTCAACGAGTTCCCAAGCCGTAAAAAAACCTGAACCGCCGCTAAAGGGAAAAAGGGGAGAGAAAATATATTCAATGAATCACGAGATTATCCGAGTTATACATTTTTTTTCCAAGTTTCCCGACCGCTATTGACTCCTTTCGAACCGATCCTTTTTTTTCCTTTCTCGACAATCGCACTTTGTACAGCTTTAAACGGACCGGCGACTGTATCGCGAATACACCCCCCAAGGATCGAAATCGACCAACGAAAATCAACCAATGAATCGAGAGGGAGCGTGAGACGAAAGGGGATTGGAAAGCGGGGGTGAAAACGACAAATTGAAAATACCGATGACTTACGTGTCGCGAAGACATTTCGTGGCGTCGATAGATTACGAGATCGTCGAGTTGGACAGGAGACAGGCACGATGTTGACATCCCGCCGATAAGTTGTCGGCGCGCTTAACGACCCTAGAAGTTACGTCGTCGTCCTAAACGTATCATTTTCCAGCTACTTGTTCCCCAGTCCAAGTTCACAGAGTGCACTCCGATAGAGCGGCAAGTTTAATGACGTTTCGAAAGATCATTAAACTGGGCCGCACGCTAATTAACCTAAGGGAGGATAAATACGGGCGACGACGCGACGAGAGGAGAGGAGACGCGTAACGAGACTGTTCGAAACGATGTGAAAGTAAGAGGCGAGAGAAGACGAGCCATAGGCGCGAACAAAAGCGTCTCTAATGGAACGAGCTCGACGTGAATCGTGGAACGTGGCATGTACGTACGTGGTTTTTTTCCCACTTCGCATCCGGATCAACGAATGGACCAAAGCGAGCCGATCGACACGGTAAACGGGACGCGAAACGACGAAACGAACGATGATAGAACGAAACGATTTACAGCGCGGCAAAACTCGAGCAACGCGTGAAAAAATCGCGTAATAACGAGACGCGGGAGACGCGTGGATTCGACCTCGAACTCGTCGTGGATTGCACTGGCCGGTTCAGCCCTTTACCGACTCGTAGGGGTGGCGACGAAAGCGTGCAAGGAGAAGGGATAACAGGATGGAGAGAAGGAGGGAAGGGGAAGAGTGAGAAGCAAGAGGGGGTTGGCGATAGTAAGAGAGAAGAGGGATGGTGGGAGGATGAGGACGGAAAAGGGGAAGAGGATGGATATATAGGCGGCAGCATCCACAGTGCTGAAAACCACCGTGGTACATTTCGCGGGGCTCCCATGAGAGAGGAAACAAGAGAAAAAGAGAGGGATGAGGGAAAGAAGGCGCGAGAGCTGGTGGCCTCTATGAAATTAAAACAAAAAACGTGGGGAAACACATCGTGTCGCTCCGGAACGGACCGCTACACACGCCGTCACTCCTCTCGTCTTTTCTCCTTCCCGCTTACATTCGCATTTATCCTCTCTCCTCTCTTTTTCTCTGCCACTGGTCTTACAGAACCGTACACTTCTCTCCGTCCGTCCATGCACGCAAACTTGTTCTTTTTCCCGCTGGGTGGAGTTATTTTTTTTCTTTCTTTTTGTCGTTTATTACGCGTCGGCGTACACGTTCGGCGGTGGAAATTACGCGACGACTCGACGTAGGCTCCTAGGATACTTTTCCGAGTGGAGACGACTCGTTAGCATCGTGCACCGCATTTAGAAACTTCTCGGAACGCGCCATTTTTTAAAAATGAAAAGGATTGGATCCCTCGTGTTTTAACGATCGGTTGTCTGATCCTGTCAGACAATCGCGATTTATCCAAGCTTGCCCAAAATTTATCCGTTTCTTTCTTCTCTGTACGACCTGCCTGTTCTTTCTTCCCTTTTTTCTTTTCTTTCTTCTGTGACACGAAGCCGCGGGGATAATACATCCGCCACGATAAGTAACGTGGATCTCTATAGTAATAAGTTTCCGTGTATCGCGAGCAAAGCTGAGTACACTGTCCAAAAGTGGATCGTCCCATATTTGTATCTGCGGACGTGTTTCATCTTTTCTATTCGCCTCTGTTTCTTCTTTTCCATAGAATTTCATCTCGTACACGCGTTTGATACGTTCTTTGTCGGCGGGAACGCGCTAGCGTATCATTTAATTAAACCCTTTCAGTCTTCTCGCCTCTCGATGAAAAACAAACCCACTGAAAAAGAAAGAAAAAAAAAAATAAAGAAGGGAAAAAAGAGAACGGCATAGAGACGCCTATGCAATTACCCCGACGGAGCGCTTTAAATTTTCTCCAAATTACTGGGCCGTGTTTCACGTCGTACGCGCATCCAAACTCTCCCCTCGATTTCCCTTCCCTCTTCGCCCTTATTTTTCCCTTAGGCTCAACCTGCTATTTCCCTATCTCTTTCCCAGCCTCGTACTTTTCTCTTCCTCTTTCGACTATCCCTTTCCAGCCGCCTTTGAAATAAAAGTCGATCGAGTGAGCAAGCAGCCGAGCACTACCGTTCATCGTTCGTAGATTTATCGCCGCTTCGTTCTCTTTCAGTGGTTCAGCGGTGAATCGTCTCTTTTCTCGAGGAGAAACGACGGCCAAACGACGACCTGTATAGAAATCGAAAAGATATCGTAAAAGAGAAGGTAAAAGGAAAACATCGGGAAGGGAAAGTCGAAACATGACGATCGCGTTCTAAACCGTGAGAAGGGATGGAAAAGGATATTGGAGAAGTGGTGTGCGAGCACACTCGTCGAAGGAAGGTCGTGATTAATGATAAACCTACCGATTCGAATTTCGTGGTAATAGGGTAGCTTGGATATTTTAAGGATAACCCAAGAGACACGCTCCTGGATATCTTATCTGACGCAGGCGCCCGCGCGCCGCCCCACCCAGCAGAATTGCAGGAATCGTCACCAACACCATCGTGATACTGCGATGGTATTGAAGGAACACGAAGAGGATCCTCTGTGTGCACAACGCGATGCACGTGGCTACGGTTACCGGATGAATTTTATTAAACTTGGGTGAAGTGTAAAACTGCATACATAGCCGCATTAATTCGACGATAATTTACTAAATTATACACTGTGTGCTTTATTATATGTCATTTCACAGCCGAGAAAAATTTCTCGCTGAAAAACTGGCCTGCAAAATTTACCAACCGATCGATCAACTTTTTGCAAACGATTGTCGCACAAATTTTCTCTTTTTATCTCCCACGCAAAATTATTCCAATATTAAAAAACATCTATTAAAAATCTCGATAACGCATCTTTTATTCACATATACGAACGCACGAATTGTTCTTTTAATAATCTATGGTACGAGAAGAAAAGGAATATTATCCGAATTTATCTTAACTTGAAATTCTTATTATAACTTTCTTTCTGTCGTGAACAAACGGAAAAAATTACAAAGTTCAAAGCGACTCAATATTTGTCAAATTATCACGAGACAATGATGAAGTATAAAATACTGAAACAGTGTGCAAAATGTCAAGACTATAAGAAGACAAAAAAGAAATGTCCTAAAATAGTCACCTTTTTAAAAAGCTGCTGCTTATGCGAATTTTCTGCTTGAACTGATGTTCAGCTGGGATACTGTGTAATGTCTTGTTCCCTTTTCTCGAGTTTATAGCTATTGTTCTTTCCTTCTTCTTGTTACCGAGTTATTTAATCGAATCACCTAACTCCAGTTCCCTTTTGTCAAATGTTTGACTGTCGTCAACCAGAACAAACGTAGCTCGATTAACAAAAATCCAAAGATGTATGTATCTGAAATCAAAAATCTATTGAATGACTTTTACAAAGTTTGTTTATTCTCGAAAATAATTGATGAGGTAAATAAAAATCAAATGAAAAAATATTATATACTGAAGTTAATATTAATTATTAAAAAATCATGAAAAAATCATCAATGTCTCTATATATAATATTCTCAAGAATACGTGAAAAATTTATACGTATAAATTTATTAAATTAGCATTGCATTTATGTAGTTTTAGTATTAACATTAGTATCCATAGTAGTATCCATAACTTTGAAAATAATTCAATAATAATTGAAGAGAATAAATTATAAGTGTATGTATACATCAAGGGAAGTATAACGTAACATTTAAAAGTTTTAATCATCAGTCCGTTTCGAAACTGGAATGGAAATGAGATGTTTGAATTATTTTCCACAAATATCAAGTACTATTTTCCTAGTAACATATATTCTAACAATGTAATATAATCAGTGGTACGCTCTCTCATTTTTTTTTTTTTTTTTTTTTTTTTTATATCTTCTGCAACGAATTGAGAGAGGAGATATAAAAGATAGAAAATGCAAGGATCAATAAGAAACTGTCGGAAGCTTAAATTTTCCCCGTAGGCCAGGAACGAAAATAACGTTTAGGCTCTGGTAATTATGATAACTTGATCATAATCTTCGCCGTCTTGGAGCTAGTACGCACGAAGAAACTTTGCGAACTTATTACCAAGTGACCTAAAGCCGGAGTAGCTTAAGACAGATTTATCATTTCGGTGTGTGGTTTAATTAGAAATTCTAACAAGCTTGAGCAACAAATATGGCGTATTTCGAAAGTTCCGATGTACCGTTTGCGTGAAACTAAACCACGGTCTTTTGGTTAAGAGATTCATCCGTGATTCTACTATCCCTTATTTATGAATGTCTGGAAAACAATGGCACGGTATAGAGAAAATTTGCATATAAATTCAAAGAGCACGGCGTACGATGCCTCTCGTCCTTAATCGACACGAATAACCGAACGAAACATGACCGACGAGTTACTTCGTAAGTTCTAATCGCGACGTCTCTCTGGAACTATGATATATTCTTTTCCATTCTTTATCATATAAAAATATCTGGGATAACGTTCACTGTCCAAAGTGGTTGTGTCCGGAGGATATTATTTTTAGTTTGCAGTCGGTTATATAGGAGCATTTATATTTGTTACGATTGTAGGATTTGTCGCGAATATTTCGCTATAAGAAATATCCGTACTTTACAAAAATCCGAGATTATTTTCTTCGAGGACTATAGTTCAAGAATTAAATTAAATACTGCTACACTTTGCGAATTGCCCTGCATTTGTTATAAGTTATTACTACGAAAGAATATAACGAACCTACCTTTGAGAAAATATGGAACGAAAGAAATCTCACTACGAATAACGAATGAAGTCCGTATCGTATTATAGAGCAAACATTTACGTAATTAAAAATCCAATTAACGGTTATCAATCAATTTCTAATAACATCGATTTTATATTTAATTATATATTATTTTATTATAATAAGACTAAATTTACATCGATGTTTTCTTATATAATGATAAAAAAAGATTATACAAGTTACAAAGATCTCATTATTATTGTTATCCGAATCCATATTTAAAAGAAAAAAATAAAAATTCTAACTTGATATGAATATTATCCGCTTTCCATCTCAACTTCTATTATTCTAAAAATTTAAATTATATTTGATACTGTTATGGCAGCAAGTTTCGAGTTTTCTCTTCAACATATCACGGTAGAGATATGGAAGAAATGAACTCTAGCTTTTGTAAATCTATCTCGCAATCTTATTCGAGATACTAGAAAACTAATATTAGGTTTTATTGCATCCTGTTTCTTGATTTTAGATATTTTTGTTTTAAACCGAACAATCATGACAACCGAAGGATTTATTAAACCAATTTTCTCGCTTTTGAAAGATTTCTGGTAAGCGTTTTAAAACTACCAACACTCTACGTATAGATATATAGATTTGAAATATTTCATTGTTTTCTCTGATTTGTCAAAATTAACGCAATAAATTGTATTTAGCTCAAAAAAACTAATTGTTATAAAGTTAGTCCCCTGAATAATATTGTAGAAGCAAACGAAGCATCGAAATATGATAATGCGCGATAAACAGTCCAATAACATATAAAATGAAAATTGAAGTTTCTGACCATGAATATGTATTTCGCTATAAACAAAGTATTCGATATAATTTGGCAAATAATCATTGTGATTTGATGATCTTTTTTAAATAAAATAAATGTAAAATAAAAATAAAAATTGCGTAGTTAAATTTGAATATAAAAAATAATTTTAATATTAATAGAATCTATGAAATATTTTTCATAATTTGCGCATCTTAAGCGTGACATATATTTACATATTCATATCTTCATAATCTACACTTGTTGCATTCTCTTAACTATAGAGATAGCTAACAATATTCATTAACCATATAACCATAAACTATGTACATTATGTACATTAGAAAAAAAATATAAAATGCATTTTACAATCTATGTCTTAAAAATCACAATAATTTAATCTTAATATATCTAATAAATAATATATTTAAAAAATATATCTAAAAAATAGCGTACAAAAAAATAATAATTGTTCATAAATAATAATGTATTATCAATTAATATTATCAAGTATTAATATTATCAAATAATACTAACCTAGCAGGAAAATTAGGTTACGGATGAAGATCCATTCTATCCGCGATCCTATTCACGTTCTTTTAATAAGCAAAAATTTAATTAATCAATATCAATAATAAATCTTCTTTTAATTTGAGTTTGTAAAATGTTCAATCTTTGATTGTTGTGCAAAATAAAAAGATTTTTAAAAAAAATTCGATGTCATAAACTAAATCTGAAAACAAAAATTACATCTTGTAATCTAAATATTATATATAACTTTATAATTAAAATATGTATCATAAATCCATATATATATATATCAATATTTTATATTTTCATTTCCTTGAAAATAATAATTACAAAAAAAAAAAAAATAAAATATGTTCCACGTATGTTCCATATTTTATTGATTCATTTCTATTAATATCATTTTATTATCAAAATTATGCATGCAATTACAAATCTATTCTATTTTAAACAGTTTTAATTATAATCTATCTATTTATATCATAAAATTTCTACATTTAAGAAATCTATAAATTCTTGAATTTAACAAATTCTTAAAATAACCTAAAAATAATATATTGATAACTTAATATAACTTAAAGAAAAGTTATTATATATTATTATATATTATATTATTTCTATAATTCTTATATTTATAGATTAAAGATTTTTTTAAATCTCCATTACATAATAAAAATAATAAAAATAAATCAGAAAATTCTGATTCTGATTGATCGCGTGATAATTCACCGAGTAAAACTGTGTTAGTAAAAGAAAAATAGGATAGAAAAGGAAATAAAAAAATATTTTCTTTTCATATTTTCTTTCTATTTTCTATCAAAGTATTCAGAAGACTATTGTTTTAATAAATAATTATATATCATTAATAATACGAAATTATAATATATTAGAGATCATAAGATATTTTGTCGTATTTAGGGAATATGAAAAGAAATTATTATATATGTATTGTACGTGCATGTGTGTGTGTGTGTGTGTGTGTGTGTGTTATATAAAAAAATATATATATATTAAATACGAAATATTATTCAACGTAAATGTTCGTTATTAGAATTTAAAACATGCTTTCAAACTGTCACATTTCATAAATATTCGAAAATATTTACGACAAATCAATACGTTCAAATAAAAAAAAATAAAAAAAAAATGATATTATTACATAAAAACCGCGTTTTATGTTGAATTCAAACATATCCGATAATATGAATAAAATAATCTTCATAAAAATAAATTATTGATAAAGAATATGTTACCGTACCTGCTTTACTGCAAACATCGATTTGGCTCATTGATTATCATGGCATCCTTAATAATCTGAACAAAAAAAAAAAAATAATAATAATAAAAGATTTAAAATAAGTGCATAAAATTAAAATAAAATAGCAATAATTATACTAAAGTCCAAAAGTTCATGATAAAAACTACTGTAATTACTAAACTAATTACTACTACGCAATTACTTGTATGATCAAATGGAAAACGAATAAAAGAGACGAAAACTAACAAAACAATAAATAAAATATCCTTTCAATAGGATAATATTAAAGAAAAAATAACTTATAATAATGATACTGAAAAGAATATTGAAACTCACTCGAAAGTTTAATAAAATCGTTAATAAAATTTTATAATCGAAAAAAAAATTTGAATTATAAATTATTTTCAAATATTAAATAATATATATTATATTTATAGCATATATATGTTAAAAAAATAAAATTTTGAAAGAATAACGTACCTACTTGAAAAATATGTATCCATGATGCAAGAATTTATACAACTTGTTTAAGCCATTCAAAAATTAGCGAACGATGTTTCAATAAAATAGTTAAAAAAGAAATAAATGCCATAAAATCTTTTAACTTTTAACGAATGACACTTTCACGACAATATAAATGAAAAAAATATATATTACAGTATTATTCTTGATATATTCAATTATTTCGAAGAACAAAAGTTTTACAAAAATTTTGAAAGAATTTTCACTGGTTTTTAATAACCCACTGATTATAAGTATCGTGGCATCGGTAGAACGACGCAATTTGTCTAGCAAATTTTCTATTGGTTAAGAATTTCCAATCAGAATCACGCGAATTTCTTATTAGTTGCAAATTTTCAGTCGAACCCACATAAATTTTATTATTGGCTGAAAGTTTTTATTCAATATTGCGCGAAAATTAAAATATTTTATTTCATTAAAAAAATTATAATTTTAAGATATAAATACATAATATATTTGAAAATTTGTATGTATTGATTTATTTTAGATAATATTGATTAGTGAATAAAGGAAATAATTATAGACAATATTTGTTAACATAAAATAAAATTATATTTTTAGTAAAAAATTTTAACTTATATCTAAATGTTTAAATTCATATTTTATTCATATATTCATATTATTTTATAATTCATATAATTTACTTATTTAATTTTATTAATAATTATTAATTTAATGTACAATAGTAACAAACATATAATAAATGATACATTTCGTTTTTTTGGACGTGAGATTTCGTAATAATTTAATAAGTCTATTCTATATCTTATTTGTAATATATTTGATATTTATTAATAAATAAACCATAAATAAAATAATAATTAATTAATAAAAAATTAAGTTTATATTCAAAATGGTTAAAGATATTGTAAAAATTCTTGATATTTCATGGAGATTTGGTGGTATGAATCTAACCTCAAAACAAATTATTTAAAAAATTCTTATGCATTAAATATCTTTTTAAGTTAATAAATAATAAATTTGTTTTTTATTAAATAAAAATTAAATATTTTGTTTTTGTAATTAAAATTTAAGCAAATAAAAATGTAATAATTTCTTAACATAATATTTCTCTTTGATGATAAAAAAAAATTTTTTTTTTTTTTTATGGATAGTTATAAAATATATGTGTATAAAATAATGTAGCATTGAAACTAAATTTTTACAGTAACTGCAGCAAGCAATGAATCTGACAACATGGGAAAATCATTTCTTCATCTAAAATTAAGTTTAGAAAAAAATGGCAAAACTAAGAATGTTTTTATAGAAATGACAATAAGTGAATTTTATAAATTTGTGCATGATTTAGAAAAAGCAAAGTGTAATCTTGATTTATTACTTTAGATAATATTTACAATAATTTAGTTGTGAATTGAATCATTTTAATATTTTAATAATGTATTATTTTTAATTATATTATTAACAATATTTTTCATATCATTTAAGAAAAATACATACAAGAAATAAACTTTAATCAAATAAGAGCATTATTATATTAAGAAATGATTAATAACATATATTTACAAATCCATTATGACTTTATACAAAAATTAAAAAATTTAAAATATAAAAATATAAGAAAAGTATATTTCATTATGTTATTACTTAAATGTAAATAAAAATATTATAATATAAATAAATTTAATTCATTAAATACCATACCTTAGAGAAATGCTTCCACTAGTTTTAAAATATATAATCGTTTGATTTAATAGCTGTTGCTAATTGAGAATCTATGTATACTATAATCCAAAAGATAAAAACAATATTTCTTGTCAAATGATAAAAGTATTTAAACATTATCACATTTTGAAATTCCATTTAAAGGTTTATGTAGATTTTGTTTTGAAGAATTTGTCATCTGAAAACAATATAAATTTTTATAAATAAAAAAAAGTTATAACAATACTGAAACAATAAATAGAAAATTGGGAACCTTTATTTATTTTTCAATAGTGAATATACAATCTTTGATTATCTTATTTTCTATCATATTAGTTTTTTTATCACAATAAAATGTATATCATTCATTAATTACATATGTGATTCATCAAATATCATAATTACTTATGTCTCTAATATAAAAATAAATTTATACAATCTTTATAATTACTTAATTATGTCTCATATTTACATAATTTAATTACTTTATTATTAATAGTTCAATTAAGATGAATATGAGATTAAAAAATTATTGAGAGTATAAGAGTAATAAGAAAGTTGTCAAATTAATACTGATACTCATTTAAAATACTATTTAAAAAGCGTCAAATATATGCAGTAAAATATTATAAATTTTTTTGAAAATACGTTTAGAATTGAGATTACATAAAGTTGAATCATTAGACATATGACAAATACAAAGAATATATAGAAAATAAATGCTTTATAATTCCCGCATTTGAATGTATAAATTAGTAAGAAAAAGATGGTATTTCACAACTTTCATTGTCCTACGTTTTGTAGGAGGAGGACTGACTACAGTACCTCTTTGATTATAAGGTTCTGCTAGTGCTAATGCAGGATTTCTTGAATCTGTTGTTGAATTTTCTTGTAATTTATCTGAGGAGACTTCTTGTAAGGATTTGCTTCTTTTTGCTTTTTGTTGAATAGATTCTAATACTGGTACAATAGCTCCAAGTAAAGGACGTTTAGATGGTTCTCCAGACCAACATTGTTCCATTAATCTCCAACATTCATCATCAAAAGAAGGTAATCTTTCTGGACGTATACCTACAATCATTAATGCAATCATTATTGCAAAAAAATATACGAAATTAAATAATTATTTTGATTTTCAAAATTACCTTTTTTCACACTGGTCCATAATAGTTCTTTATTATGGAATTGTTCAAAAGTGTATGGTAATCTTACATGTCCTGCGCATAAATACCAAAATAAAATCCCAAATGCATATACATCAACACTACTATCATAATGACCAGAAAGTAATTCTGGTGCCATATGGACAGGTGTTCCCACAATGCTTCCTAACATCATAACTTCTGTGATGCAAAATCCAAAATCAGTTAATTTCGCTCTATTTTCAATATCAAGAAGGACGTTTTTCAACTTAACATCTCGATGTACAAGTCCTTGAGAATGAAGATAACGTATTCCTTCTAACACATCTAATGCTATTTGTATACGTTCTAACCACGACAAGCCAGCACGTATTCCGCAATATAGATCACGACTTAAACGATCTGATATCAAAAGAACAGCAGATCCAAATCCAAATCCTCCACCATAAGAATGATCAATAATTGATCCTCTAAGTTTTACTATTCTTTTATGATCAGGAATAGATCTATTATAATAAAATTCCATAGCCAGATCATTCCAATGGCTTTCATCTGATGGAACAACTGATTTAATTGCACAAGGACCAGCTTTACCACCCCAACCATCACAAGCAAATACAATTCCATATTGGCCACGGCCAATTTCTTCAGCACAATGAGGTTTTCCATAACGAACAACATCTATCATTGAAGTTGATTCTAATGCTAATTTAGCTAATCTAGGAGCATGATATTTTCTAAGAGCTATTCTTTGTTCTTCTGTTCTTTCTAATTTTCCAGAATAATAATTTTCTATAGATCTGAGAGCTGCTTGAAATGAATCATGTGATGATTCAAGTTTATCTCCAAATTGCATCAATATTATTTTGGATAGTTTTGTTGCAGATAAAGAATTTAATATTTCTATTGTCACTTTTCTTCTCCAAGCTACATCTAAGGTGTGAGTTGATGACCATTGCAAGGATGAAGACATAAAAATTAAATTTAATCTTTCTAAAAATGAATATATTGAAAATGGTGAAGAATTATGTAATTCAACATTATATGCAGCTGAGAGTATTTGTTTCAAAGCATCACTTGCTAATAAACAAGTATCGCGTTCATATGTTTTTTCAAGACTTAATAAACAACGCTGTAATGTACCAATAAAACTCTCACGCAAACAATTCACGGAATTTACAAGTTGTTTTGCGACTTTTTCGCATAGACGACCAAGCACTACTCTCTGAACTTCAGAAATTGCAGCTTTAACAGTTGCAGACCACTCTGTCCTTTGATTATTATTAGACATGGTGTTTTGATACAAATAAACATCATTATTAGATAATAAAACATCATTTTTCATTTCTTGAATAATGTTTTGTATTAATCCAGTTATTTCTTGTTGTTTTTCATGAACAATTTTCATTAGATTGGCATACAATTCATTTTCTTTATGTTGAGCATATTGTATTCTTTTAGGAGTTATTTGAATTATACGTGCCATATCAAAAGCACTTAAAATGAATTTTCTTAAGCTTGCTGTATGTACTTCATTTAAATAAGTGCTAGCATTAATAAGATAAGTTTGCAAACATCCACGAATAAAATATAAAATTTGATCTGTTTTTCTACATGAACCCACAAAGTCACTTATATATTGTCCACTACCTAGCCAAGATAATTGATCAACTTCAACAGATTCTTTCATTCCAAGAAAACCTAAATTTGTTAGTTGATCTAACCATGATAATCCAAGTGAATTCATTCTGTCAAAATCAATACTATCATCATTAGTTTTACTTGATGTAGAATCATTAGTATATAATCGATTTTGAAGTCTATGTTGTTCAGATTCTGTCAATTCAGGATCAATACCATTCAATGATATATTTTCCAAGGATGAGATAAAAAGTACAGGATTAAAAGGATATGTTTCTTTTAAATCTCTTAATTCTTCTAAATTTTGTTCTGTTAAAGGTTGTTCACCAAGTGCATATAAAAATATTGGTAAAATAGATAAGAATTCATTTGCAAGAACTTTTACTGCCCCATTATTTGGAGCAATAAAAATTTGAACACCATCTTTTAATATAGGCAGATTAAGCTGAACTTCAAGCACAGTTGGATAAGTTATATCTTCATTATCAGACTTTGTTAAATCTTCAATTGGAAGAGTACTCCAAGGTTTTTCATTTGCTTGTAAATTTTCAACTAATTCATATTCTAGATCTAATGTGAGACTAATGTGATTTGTTTGACCATAAGTAAGTCTAATCCATCGCCATAATCCATTACATACTGGTAAAATATCATTAGATATTAATGTATTAACTACTATTGCCTTTGCCTTGCTATCTTGTCCAAGAATTATAATAGCTGGAGAATTTGCTAAAATATGCGTGATTCTGTTCAATGTTAAAGGAGGTAATAATTCTTCCACAACATTTTCTGTAAATATAATTGAATATAATTGATATAATATAATTGAATCAAATTTTATTCTAATATTGTTATAGCTTAAAAAGTCAAATATTTACCTTCAGGAAAAAAGTTTTCTAGGTTAATAAGTTCTAATGCTTGTTGAGTTTCTTCAAGAACATGTTGTAATTGATTTCGATTACGTAAATACCTTCTAAATTCTTGTGGTAATTTGCTTACCATTTTTTCAATATTATTTTAAAATTTTTGACACTTCAAAATCTTTATCCTGTTAAGAATTTCATGTTTTATAAAAATGTTTTTATAAAAATTTTGTTAATACTTGATATTTAAATCATTAATATAAATAAATTTTTAAATATTTCTTTTCTTTCTCGAATCATAATATTCAGTAAAATAAAGTATTAAGTATTCTACTAATAAATTTTTTGATTAAAATGAAAAATAATGTATTGAGATAAAATCAAATCATGTAATATTATTATTAATTAATTTTATAAATCGTAATATGCTATTTTTAAAATCTGATACTTTTACTAAATTACTAACCATTAAAACAGCCAATATATTAATTGTTTTAATCGAAGACCTATTTATCGACATAATAATATATTTTTTTAATATTTTATTATCCATGTAATATCAATTTAATGTATTTTTAATTTCCTTATTACTGAAAATGTACTACACTACTGAACTAATTTATATAAAAATAATCTATTTAAATTCTCACCACATATGTACTGATATATAAATATCAAGTAAAAATTTAAGCACTTAATCTATTAATGTCAATTATTACTTAAATTAGAAGAATTATTTACTTAAAAATAAAGTTTTTACGAACAGTACACACTTGATACATGATGAAGCGCGGTTATTTTGACTCAAACATAAACCGTTTATTATAACTGCGTTTGTATTCTGGTATTGACTACAAATGACAAGAAAATATTGAATTGGATGATAAATCGTATGCACCATTTACTTGAAATGATATACTACTTTAACATATGCATATGTATCCTCATTTTATACGATTAAGAAAACACGAATAAAAAATGTAGAGTAAACAAGATTCCTTCTATTTTAAGAAATAATATCCTTTGACATATTAATATTACATATTAATAGTTGTAAAAAATTTATAGCTATAATAATATATACTTACGTATCATAATATTTATTATACCAATTAAAAATAATTTATCGAATATTTTAAAAAAATACTTCATTATAAATATACATATGTACATATTATACACATAATTCGTATCAATGTTTATCTACAACAGATTTTCTCACATGCACATATTTTAATGAATATACATAAATACGTTTATATTAATCTATAATATAATACTTATGTATTAATCGTTATATATTATGCATTTCTTAATGTGTATATACGTGTGTGTGTGTGTGTGTATATATATATATATATTAAAATTTGTTCATAAAATTTGAGCATAATAAATATAAAAAAATAAAGTCAATACGTTCTATTTATTAAATAATTTTGTATTGTGTGATAACTTAAACATTATTATTATATTTGTATTATATTGATAATTTACATATATTTTTTTCAAATATTTTTTTATATATAATATTATTAATTTTTATATTCTATGTTTTTAGCATCTGATATAATATTTTTAGTGGAATCTTTAATCATGAAAATTTTTAGTAATAAATATTAAATTTAAATATTGATAATTGTCTATTGTTGCTATTGAAAATAACTACAAATGCAACAGTCAATTTAGTATTAAATAATCAATCAGAATCGAATCAGAATCGTCTGTGCTTTAATCTTTATTTCTGTTACGATAGCTTACTTAACAGTTGTTGATAAATACAGATTTTAACTGCTTTAATTTATTTTCAATGAAAAAAATAGTGTTAAATAATTAAAACATTAAACAAAAGTTACTAGATCAGAAATTACTATTCAATCATTTAGTCGTTATTTCATCATCAGATAAAGATTGCATTGGATAATAAATATTTATATTTTATTTACAATTCCATAATATTTAGTTTTAATTTTACTTATTATTAATACTTTAGTTTTATTTTATAATTTATATTATAATAATCAAATTTATATATATAAAATTATTACTAAATTAAAATTATAAAATTATTACTAAAATTATTACTAAAATTATAATAAAATTATTACTAAAATTATTACTAAAATTATTACTAAAATTTTCTGTATGATAGTAAAAACATTGTATAGAAAATTTATCTTGTTTGTATTATACATTATCCTTGTTTTCTACATTATCCTTTCTACATTATCAACGTGAGGTTAAAATGAATTATAAGATCTAGTAACATTATAGATGGATCTGAATGTATTTTCTGTTACTGTTTAGGTGTCGCATACAAAACTTGAAATTACCGCGCTTTTAGGCAACCATTAGTACTTTTTCTTGTCTCGTCAAAGTGTCGTAGAGTTCAACAATTTATAAAAATACAAGTGTGTTTCAACTGTTACACTATTGATTAATTGAAATATGTAAGTATATATCTTTTTAAAAACGAATATTAATATTGTTGTATTTATTCTAGTTTTAATTTTTTCATTGACTTGTAATTATTTATCATTGTTGCTTGTGGTTAGTTTGAACAAAATGATATGCAATTTCTGCAGTTATATAAGATATAAAATAAGTTTATTCTGTATTTTAAGGTGTTTAGATTTAATAACATAAATAGTTTCTAATTTCTAGAATTTAAAGTATTCATTGTTTTATTCATTGGTTTTATGGTTAGGAGTTATATTGCGACGTATATATAGCATTTCGATAGCATGAAAGCGAAACAAAATGGCCGCAAAATTAAAATGTACGCACAATATGCATACAATAATTATATAAAAATCTTGTTTTAATTACGATTTGTTTTACAATCAGTTTTTAATCTAAAAAATTCGCAAGAGTAATCAGTAATCAAATTTATTAGTTTCTATTGTCTTGGGGAGCGAAATTCTTTTCCGATTTTATGGCGTGGAAAGACGATATAATAAGGAGAGAGCCGCCTCGAGCGAAGCTGCAAGTAACGAGGGAATAAGAATGGCTAGGTAGGGTGATTTTAGAGATGGTACGGGAAGGTGGTTCAGGGTACAAGATTTAGTGGACTCGCTAGTAGCCGCTAACTTTGCAAGCTACGCCTTAAAGATATTAAAGTGATGTAATATGAATATGAATAATTTTTTTTTACAAATACAATTTTTTATGTACATAGATATTATACAGTATTACATAAGATTTATATAGGTTATTATAAAATTTATTAATAAAGTAAATTAATACAAATTTACGAAGGAAAATTGATAATGTAGTAATGAAATATGAGAAAAGAAATAGAAAAATTCTTTTTGTGTTTATCCCATAACAATATATAAAATCAAACATATTTTAAAACATATTGTTTTTTATTTTTAGATTTCAAGTTTGGAAAGCGATTTAAGAAATTTAACAACGATTTAACATCATCAAAGTTACTAAGTATGGTTTGTTAAATTATTAAATTATGTTTATTTTCATTTTAGTATAAATTTTTATATAACTTACTGTTTATTTTTTATTTTTTTTATCATAGATATCTTAATTATAAAGTGAATATGAAACTATTAGAATGACAAACATCAAGGCAGATTACTCTTACACAAAAGTGCAAACACAAATCTTATGGTCGTTTCGGGCAGTTGAATTCCAAGATCTGGATAATGGATCCCCGGATGTACTTCCAGGGCTGCTGTTTCGTGAGTCTATCTTTATTTCTATCTCTCACGATATCGATACATTGCATTGATACAAATTCTATGATGAACAAATTCTATGTTACATTAGAATGCATTTATGCGCTTTTAAAATATTTTATTCGTTGTATTATCATAGAATTTATATATTATGAATATGCGTATCTTTTTATTATATATATTCATAAAAACTAATTTAATTTTTGCTTGAAACTACAAACTTATTTTTTAACATTTTTATTCACTTTTTAAATTAGTAAATTTATATATCAAAATTATTTATCAATGCAAAATTATTTTAAATAATTTGATATAATATTTATAAGTAACATTGGAAGTTAGATACTCGTTAAAAATTTTTACATCATTCAAACGTAATTGGTGGGATTAAAAATAAGACAAAGATACATGGAGATAGACAATGATCCGTTTTAGTGTTCAGACGGAGGTCAGGATTTTCAGGAGCGTATAATTAATTTCCCATGTCACTCTGAGCCCTTTCCCTGCTCTTCCTCGATCTGCCCCACGCAAATCTCCCGAACCACGACGACAATATTGCTGGCCATTTCGTTCGACAGTGCCCAAGCGCCTCAGTAGTTCTCCTCCGTTCCCGAACCCCTTTTCGGAGCTAACCCTACGCAGAGAAAGGGGTAACTTTACGAACAAGCATCTAGCACCGATCTCACCCTCCATCCTCTTCGTTTTAACGATTCTTCCTTTTCTATTCCGTACATACCGACCCGTCAATATCAGTTTCCGTAATTAAACATAACAGATCAACATTCGACATTACATAACCGAGCTTCCTCGTTTTCCGTATGAACGCGTATCTATTATTGGGGTACATTCGTATACCAAACCGTGTGCATTGTCTATATAGGTATTCGAACGATCTTCTGACCCCCGGTTACTCAACTCGAATCGGTTAATTGGATAAATGTCCGATGAACGCCGGGCCATCTCTACCCCAAGTCCTCCTATACTCCGTCGTCTCCATCTCCTTCTCTTACTCCTTTCTACTATTCTCGGAGCTTTCTGTCGGACTGGTTCCCCTTTTACTCATTTCCGCCTCTGTCCTTATCAGGTTCATTGGGAAAACAATCACTTGTTCCGCAGAGATGAATTTATCGAAGCACAATGTTTTTTCTTCCGCTGGATATTACCGAGAGCAAGAGGGGCGGATTGGCAGAATTAGCTTAGAGTTCTTCGAATCGTCCAATCGTTGATTACAATAACGTTGATAGAATTTAGGAACAATGTAGGATCTAATCATTTTCTTCATTCTTATCTATCTGTATAATGTTATGCAATTTATTTTTCCTTCCAAGATAATTTGTTATCAATCAGAATCCATTAACACAGGCATCAACTATCTTTAATTAAGAATGACGAAATTCTCGAATTAGCTAAAGAATTCTAATCGCGTATATCTATTTATTTTACGATCCTCCTGGTGACAGGTTTCACGGAATATTGCATTTCCAGTTTCCACAAACCATCTCTCTTCATTTATCTCCTTCCGACATCGACTTTACCCTTAGATTCTATAATCAGCTAACGGTATACATAGTTTCATTACGCGATTCACATTATTTATTCTGCACTTAACATACCTTCATTATTTATCGTGTTCATTGATTATTAATCATATACATTGATCTTTAATTAGCATCGAGAATACAACTAATTGTTTGTGACAATTAATTGTATTCTCGATGCGTCCAATATATTCAATTAAAAATTTTGTTCTAATCAATATATGGTATGGTATGTTTTTTCAATAATTTATTTATATTTTAAATTTTCTTTCTTCGTTCTATAACATCTGGCGTCCGTTCAAAATTAGGGTGTTCGGGCATAGATTAGGATGCGTCGTATTCACATGCTGGCGGCACTTCTTAGTGGCAACGACGGCAAATAAGGTAGTCAGATTCTAATTGCCTATCATAAATCAAGGACAGCACCTGCACAATTTCGAAATGTTTATGGGGCGGTGCTGTTACATCCTTCATTAGGATGAAGCATAGATGAAACGACACACTGATTCGAGTTTAATTGATGCCCAATTAGATTAATATCGTTAATTACGCTTAGAAAGTGAAACGTGAAGCTTGATCTGATATCTCCTCAAAGATTATCTCAATTCTTTTTTTTTTTTTTTTTAATTCTTTTATAATTACGTTCTAT